TTTTGCTAACAAGTGCATACGATTCCCTTTATAACCCTGCCCATCAACCATGGTGATTGCCAAGGGCATCTGTGCCCTGAACTTGAGGTGGAATGACAGGTGTCTAACCCAGTGATTCTCAAACTTTTTATAGCAGTGTACCCCCTGTGGCATTTAACATTCTTCCACTTAGACTGCAGTTACACCTTTTCTATTAAACGACAATATTTGCCCCTTTAAGTTTTTTTTTTACTTTTATAGAGGCAAAGATTTTCTACCTGTATTAATTGTATCTTATGTCATGTTTCATGTCATATTATTAACATTCCATTAAGTGTATTATTAATATAATAAATAAAGTAATAAATGATGGCAAATCGAAGTAATAGCCTACTTTAGACTTAAAAATAAAACCGCCAATAGGTGGCGGCAAGTCACTGTCTTAGTGAGCCAGGTGTCATGTCATTCATTCATTCATTCAGTAACGAAGCAAAATGCTGTAGTTATGAATGGGTTATTAATCACTGACTCCGAATCGTTCAAAGCCGCAGATTCGTTCACTAACGAAACACTGGTGTATGTTGCTTGGAGATGCACACCAGATTTTGGACTATACCAGTGCATCCAGATGACCAACACAAGCTGGCTTTCACCTTTTGCAATCAGCAGTACACCTTCACCAGGTGCCCATTCGGCTATGCCAACTCACCAGCCGAATTTAACATCTTCAAAGCATGCCAGGGTAAGAGGGAACTTAATCTATGTCGATGACCTTCTGATGAAACACACGATGGTGGCTGATCACCTGAAAGAAATTGACCATGTACTGCACCAATTGACCACTGCCAGTGCCAAGATTGCCCTCCACAAAGGACAATGGTGTAAAACCAAGGTCAACTACGTGGGCCTGCTCATTGAGCCACAAACCAGCTGCATCCATGCCATTCAGAACATTAAGCCACCTGCCAGTGTCTCAGAACTTTGAAGTTTTCTAGGCGTGTGCAACTATTCACGGCAGTTCATTGAGAACTATTCAGACATTGCACGCCCTCTCACTGCCCTTCTGAAAAAGGACTGCCCCTTCATCTGGACAGATGATCAGCAAAATGCCATGAATGAGCTGAAACGACATCTGTGCATTGCTCCATGTCTGGCTTACCCAGATCCACAGAAGGAGTTCTATTTGGACGCTGGATTCTCCAGCTACTGCCTCAGTGCTGGTCTATACCAACGGCATGACCAGGACAAAAGGGTGGTCGTATATGCCAGCAAGACTCTTCTTCCCACAGAGTGCAAATACTCAGACTGTGAGAAAGCCCTGCTCTGTACTGTATGGGCCATCCAGAGATTCTCCAACTACATCGGAGCACAGAAAGTAAGCATCGAGGCACATTACTTAACAGCCAGCACATCCGCGACGGTGTGGTCACATATGCACATAATTGCCCTCCAGGGGCGCAACGTAGAAGCACGATATGCTCAAAGTCGGCTCTGGGTAACGGCCTGGCAGCCAGCCAAAGCTGCTTCGATGACACACCGACTGAGATCGTAGAAGCAGAAAGGCCCCAACTACTTCAAGCAGGGGCCACAATCATCACAATATGCTGAGATAGCGGCTATTCTCATAACCCTGCAGATAGCATCGACCCATAACATCAGAGAACTGCTCATCTGCACAGACTCCAACTATGCCAGACTTGGCTTCACATGCCATCTTCCAGGCTGGAAGCAAAATGGTTTCAAGACAGCGAACAACAAACCAGTTAAACACCAAAACCTGTTCCTGGTATGCGACGACATCACAAGTGAACATGATATGATCGTTTACTGGAAAAAAGTGAAAGGACACTCGGAAGCAACCTGGTCCAGACAAGGACCTCAACGACCAAACGGATGCCCTAGCCAAAGCAGGTGCACTACACGGCGAGTTATGGTCTCCACCAACCAACCCACCCACCCTTAACGTGGCAGCCATAGCCCGCAGCAAACACACTCAACCCACCAAAATGCCCACCTCACAGCCACTTACACTGGCTCCTCAAACTCCACTAATGACATTGCTGACATGCAAGCCTCTGACTCCTCCATCAAAACTATTATTCACCACCTCTCTGACCCCTCCAGCCACCCTATCACACCAGATGAACTTGCTGCTGCCCCAAGCCTCAAACGGCTATACCACGTAACACACATGCTGCGCGTGATAGACAACATTCTGTTTTATGCCCCTGATGACCTCACTGCACCAAGGCCTTGCTATAGTCCTCCAACAAAGACTGTCTTGAACAGACAAGAACTTCCCTCACCGATCCACTGCCTTTCACCTTCAGCTAAACAGAGGACAACCGCAACATGATATCACATCACCGGGTCCAGCATCAGGCATTGTAATGAGGGACTAACCTGGACTCCTTATCACCAACTGCAGGACTCCAACTCAGTGTCCTGCTAAACCAAACTGTGAACTCCGTGAAACAGTTATTCTCTGTTATACAGAATGATGTTGCCCAAACTCAGCTGGTCACCACACTGATGTCTGATATGCTCCGTGAGGTGAGCTCCTCCATTGACAGCCTAGCCAAGGGTAGAATTCCCCCATATCTGGTGCCCCTGAGCCTAGTACAAACTGTGTTGTCCTCTGATACTACCCATCCACCTGACTCTCTCCAAGCCCACCTTGCCTACTCCTTGGGAGGATCCATCCTGCTACATGTCGACCCCGAGCAGAGCGAGATGGCGTTTCTTCTGAATCTACCCATCATTAAATCTGACAACATTTACAAACTCAAAGACATTGTCAATGTTGGAGTTTGGCAAGGAAACACTCACATCAGGATACACACCCCAGATATGGTAGCCTACCACGACAGTAACCCACAGTTATACCTGGCCCCAAACCTGCGCATGTGTACCCTGACCAAAGACATTCATTATCTCTGCACCAGCAAGCCCTTCCTCCGAGACAACACTGAAGGAATCTGCGGATTACAACCCATGCAAAGAGAGACACTCTGCCCTGCTGAGGCCAAGCCTCGCGCACAAGCAAGAAGAGACTGTGGGAAATCAGTGGCTCGTCAACACGCCCATCCGTGCCGCTATACTGACCTATGACCAGCATTACAGGTGAACTTCGTCAGCCAAAAGGGGGGGATTCTGTAGCGTCTGCTTAAAATCATGGATGATCATTGGGGTTTTATGTCTTTAGAGACCCCTCTTAGCCTTTTGACATTTGCATATAAATTACTTATAACCAGTAGGGATGTAACTCACGATTCGATTCGATTCACGATTTTAATTTCACGATTCGATTCCATTTACGATTTTTTTAACAAAATGAGATTTAAGACAAATTATAAATGAAATGTGTCCTTATTGCTAGGACAAAATGCTGCACGTTTCTTTGTGAAATTGAAATATATCACTATAATAATATAATAATATAGCACTTGCATATTATTGCTCTTTTGTTGGTTTTAATTGGTTCTATTGTCCTCATTTGTAAGTAGCTTTGGATAAAAGTGTCTGCTTAAATGACAAAATGTAAATTAGTGTAAATGTAAATAACAAAACTAAATTGAAATTTAAAAGCAACCCAAATCAAATAAGTAACACCAATAAAATCAATTTATTCATATAAACAAACTAAGGTTTTGTCTGTGCTCTTAACATTTAAAATTAGAGGCAACCACTGCATTTTAATCATGATTCAAACAAAGATGCAGCATACATGCAACATGAGCAGTTTTTAATCTAAATTAGATTGTATAATTTCGAAATTTGAAGCAAAAACAGAATGGTCTGACTTCAATTTTGTGAAACTATGCATAAAAATATCTGCATGAAACGGCAACAGCAGACGAGCGGAACGAGACGCAGATGCACTCTCTGCCAGCAGGTGGCGCTTAAAGCGTTTCCTGGTTTCCGCTGTAAACAAAGCAGCGCTGCACTTATGAACTTTAATATGCATTATACAGAGGCAAGAGGAAAAGAAAAAATACCATCTAAAGACAGTAAGTTCCCCTCAGACATACATTCATATAAACTCTTACCCCTAATTGTATCGCGATTCGTTTAGCATCTCAACCGATTTGAATCATCACGTATTTTAATCGATTTTCAACCGGCTCGCGGTTAATCGTATGAACAGCAATGATACAGCGTTTCCTTGGTTACCGCTGTAAACAAAGCAGCACTGCGCTTATGAGCAGCAATGACACAGTGTTTCCTTGGTTACCGCTGTAAACAAAACAGCGCTGCGCTTATGAGCAGCAATGATACAGTGTTTCCTTGGTTACCGCTGTAAACAAAACAGCGCTGCGCTTATGAGCTTTAATATGCATTATACAGAGGCAAGAGGAAAAGTACCACGTACACTTTTTTAAAGACAGTAAATTCCCCTCAGACATACATTCATGTAAACTCCTACCACTAATTGAATTGCGATTTGTTTAGCATCTCAACCGATTTGAATCGTCACAAATTTGAATCGATTTTCAACCGGCTCGCAGTTAATCGTTACATCCCTAATAACCAGTTATAATTAATTATAAATATTTCTCTTTTGAACTAATTTGCTACACAGTAAACAGGTTGTGTGTGTGAGATCATGAAGAATTGGGCTTATTCAGTACTCAAATGTTATACCTATCTATGCAATACAGTGGAATACTGCAATAAGTTTAGTATACGACCCCTATTAATCAAACATTTTTTATTTTATATATATATATATTATTAGGCTATTATTATACCCTCACTGGGGGCTGAGTCCCCCTAAAATGAAAATCCTAGAATCGCCCATGAACAGCAGTTATCAAATTACTAAATTATGATATTTTCTCAGGTGGGTGCTGGGTTCTTATTTGAAAATGATTTATGGATGCATGGATGTTTTTATTGAGCTTTTTGTTTTTTGATACAAGTCATCAGGAAGAAAAAAACATTTTAAGCTGTTATTATTTTCAGAAGCAAATTTGCAAAGTCGTATTTTAGTATTAATTGTAATAAACATTGTAAACCATCTACTGGCTACAATTTTTGCAACATTTAGCATAGTTTTTCTTATCATCTGTGAAGCACCATAGGTAATCATAGCCATAGTAGCCACAGGGGTGATCAGACCTGCAGGTTTTGTTAGTCACAGTGGAAAAGCAGTTATCAGAAATACAGCATTCATGATTATTGCCATCAGCTGTGTAGCACCACCTATATCTTGCACGATATTTGGCACAGGCATGATTGCTATGGCAGTACTGCCCATTCGCAGCTTTACTTTTCCACAGTGGAGGGCTGCAGTAGTCCCAATGGTGTGGTAAGGACCCAGTCCAGCACCAGTAGTAGTCGTAGCCATATGTGGCACAGGGGTGATCATCCAAGCACCTCTCTCCATTAACTGTGACAAGTGAGTACCGCGGTGAGCACTCTATCAGTGTCTGGCCTGAGTGACACATGTAGGAACTGAGTTTGTGCTGGTACAGGCAGGGAGAGGAGCAGCAGGGCTTGGTTCTTCCTCCTGTGGTGCATTGACAGCTGTCACTAGAGTCAGTGATGCTTTGGCAGGGGGATCCATCAGCTGCAGTCTTCTGCTTCTCCGGGACCAACAGGCATTCAACAGCATCTGACACCTTGGGCACATCCCTCTTTCTGAACTCATCATGCACAATTGTTCTTTCTTGTGGTTTAATAAGACAAGCACTTTCAGCAGAAGCCTTCATTTTCTCTGCCACAATGTAGTAAGTGTCCATGTTGTCAAAGGCTAATTTTGCTTCCAGCTTAGATACTTTGACATTCATTGCAGATGATATGCTGTCACTGCTGACCAACCTTTTCACTGCTCCAAATGTGTTCTGCACATCTGAACTCTGGAGTCTTTGGCTCCCTGACAGATTAATTTTGTTCTTAAATTCTATCTGAACCTTGCTTGATTTAGAATTGTCATCAAAACAGTCATCAACAAAAATCCTAACTGAATGAGAAGTATCTGAGTGCTCACTATAGAGTTCACTGAGCCGATAATTCAGGGCTGAGACTTCCATCACACTTATGCTGCCTTCCGGCAGGTTTTCCCCTATATAGCCAAAGGAGAAAGACTTGCTGTCATCACTGTTGTGTTTATAACAGACAGCCGTCCAGATGTGAGAGGGAACGGTTACTCTTTCAGGGTCTTCAGAGATTTCCCTTTGTGGTATCTTTAGATTTGCATTGGGTACCGTACCTGTGACAATGTAGACTGTTGCAGAATTACCATCATTATTCAGTGTGTCTTTTAAAAAACTCCTCAAATCTTTCTCCCTCTTTCCCCATTGGATACGGTTAAAACACGGGTCCATAGGTGCAGCGTTGGTCAGTGTGAATGTCGCTGTACGGCCATCACCGCACTGGAAGCTGTTGGGGTACAGGTGTCCACGGTCATATCCGGTTTCACTGTAGTCACTGCTGATGGCTTGATTTCCTTTATAATCGTTCTGATTTCTTCTATTCTCACGTTCCATATAAAAAGTTCCAGAATCAGGTACGGAAATCTACAGAAGAAAGGTTATATTTAAATTGTTAGTTTGATGTTGTGTGGAAAAAGGTTTTGTTCTTACTTTCCACATTGTCTCTCAGTGGACATATTTAAATGTTTATAGTACAGTATACTAATGTTCCATAAAGCAGCATTTATCTAATGTATTTTATATATTATTTGGAATGACCCAACAGAATGTAGATCTTAAACTGCTAATGAAAGTCTTTAGTTAGACAGTGAAGTACATAGTTACCTGTGGCTCTAAATGCCAGACGTTTGAACGTCCACCGTCGCTTGAGCATGCAGGATCAAATCTGTAGGCGCTGTAGAGAGGAATCCTGTGATGAACCGAGTACAGCGTAGCGTAATAATAAACTTGTGGTGTCCACTGACAGATTTTCTTGGCATTTTGATCCATTCCTCCTGGTTCTGTGTTTCTGTAGAAAAACTCTTCACACTCAAAGTCATCAGATACTTTTGCCTGAGCACTGAATGCTCTCAGCACAATACAGGTGAACAGACCAAGAACAAACATGGTGTGAAGCTGATCTTGTGTTACAGAGCACAGACACCAGAAGCTGCTGCTTTAAATACACTGGCAAGTCCGTGATGTTGTTGAGGGTGTGACAGAAATGAACAAATGAGAAGAAATGAAGAATATGATTGAACATGCTTATGGGAGGAATTTCAGAACTCACATGTAAAGAAAACTTGATTTCACACAAAATACAGCAAGGATCTCTAACCTTATTTATTTTGAGAAAAGAAGTGGCTGAGAGCTACTCATGTTATACCGTACATAAATCTATTATCTAAAATAACGTATCCTAACTCTCAATTGAACAGTACAAAATGATATGCACCTGAAAGAGTTTTTGTATACATGTCACCCTTTAATGTCAAAGAAAAGAACAGAATCAGAGAATACAGGTCTTTATGGAAAAAAGTACTGCATATTATACTGTAGTTGTCTACACATAACTAGTAGTTGTTTTTATAGTGCACATAACTAGAGATGAAACAGTATGAAAATTTAACGATGAAAATATCATAACACAATTATAGAGACAAAAATGAGCACGGTTATCATAGTATTCAGGGTGGCCGCGGGTCCTTAAAATGTCTTAAATAAAGTTTTCCTAAAATAAGGCCTTAAAAAGTCTTAAAAAGTCTTAAATTCAGATTCAGTAGGTCTTAAATATTTTTGGTCACATTACCACAAAAATGTCTCCAGTCTGACGGACCCAGCGAGTGTCCATCAAGAGTACTTTTTCTCCGCTGTAGTTACCGCGTCATCAGAGAGAATTGCGGTTACAGAATACAGTCGAGCACCAGCTCGCTGTCCAGCCTCCGAACTACTTTAATGGGTTCATGCAAGTTTACTGAAAAATAGCTTGAGAATTGTACTTGCCCGACAGGACTAATAGCCTGATTAAAACTTAAGTGACAAAATATAATCACGCATCAAAACGCACGAATGATTCTTCTGATTTTATTACATTCAGCTTAAACAGCGATTGATAATGGACAGTGTATTTCTATGATCAATGTCGTGCTGTTGAGGCTCGTGCTGTCTCTGTGAGAGACTTTCATGGAGAAATCAAATCAAATGAGTGTACGGCACACATAAAGAAACTCACAGAACAAACATACTGAGGTACAAATTCTAAATGTTTAGTTTATTTATAGCATGGTATAGTCAAGTAACATACCATGACAAGGGAGCTATTTTGCTGAATATTTTCATGATTGCAAATGTTACACTGATTTTAGTTCAACAAACAAGTAGTAAAGTATATGAAGTTACTTACATTTTTAGACACAATTGACTGTTTTGTTCTATTTCACCAACAAACATAGTTCCAAACAAAGATCAGAACAGAATTATTGCGTGCACTCCAAGCAACACTAACATTTTTGTTACTGAATGATTCAGAGGTTTGAAGGAATCGGTTGAATGAATAAGTGACTTGCCGCCACCTACTGGCGGTTTAGCCTCATGCTTAAAAGTATGCATTTTTCCCCAACATTTCTTATTTGTATGTTCAAAATTTTATTTACAATATTAATCCCATAACATTATTTATTGCTGTTATAATTTTGTAATTATTTAATTTGATTGGTAACAGCCCTGTAGTGTATTACATTTCTTGATCAATTGTAAGAATTTGACTTGAAAGATGACGCATACATTTAATAAGGTAAAAAAATATATTGGCCTTTATAAAGGTAAATGACATCCTGTGGTAAATTTAAAAACATGCAGATTTAAGTATGTAAAAGCTGACAGAAAACTGATGAAAATATTGCTTCAGAATAAATTGTTTACACCACCAAAAATCTCGGTGATGCGACACTTTTGTTTTGTGGGAATATTTTGTATGGGATATTGTCTGCTGATATGAAAAGTTCACTGTATACCGTAATAACAAATAGAAGTTTTGACAGTGATGATATTTTGTTTTCTTTTTACATTTAAACGCATTAAATATTACATAGACGAATGTAATATAATGTGTATTTCCATCACGGGCTTGGTCTTAAATTTCACATAAGGTGGTATTAAAAATGTCTTAAAAAGTCTTACATTTAACTTGTTCATATCTGTAGCCACCCTGGTATTGTTAAAATGTGCTGGAAATGTTAAAGTACTGATAAAACTTGGTGAAATGATTTAAATGAGTAGTATTTAGAAAACCAACAAACAAAATTAGCCGCATTTTACATAGGGTTGGGTATCGTTTGAATTTTATCGATTCCAATTCTTATTGATTCCCAGTTTTTATTCCAATAAGTTCGAGTTCGATACTTTTTAGGCACCGACCGAATTGCCTCAATACCATCGAGTATCGAAAAACATCTCGTCATTCGGTACCAAATTTCGATACCTAAGGGGTCAATCTCATCAGCGTCAGTGAGTTCGACTAGAATATTAGTATTCAATCAGTGTTTGACATCCACGAGAGCGATTCGAAAGCGCACGGAGCAGTCTGCTCTCTTTAGCTCTCGTGGTACTGTAATACCACCAGTATAGAGTAGCGCGGAGCAGTCTGCTCTCTTTAGTTCTCGTGGTACTGTAATACCAGCAGTATAGAGTAGCGCGGAGCAGTCTGCTCTCTTTAGCTCTCGTGGTACTGTAACACCAGCAGTATAGAGTAGCGAGGAGCAGTCTGCTCTCTTTAGTTCTCGTGGTACTGTAATACCAGCAGTATAGAGTAGCGCGGAGCAGTCTGCTCTCTTTAGCTCTCGTGGTACTGTAATAATCCGATCGGTCTGCAGTCAGTCTGCATCAAGTCGAACACACCTGCTAGTTTACACCGGTTACACTCAGAGATGTGGTGCACACGTGAGGCTGTAGTGCTAATGCGTCCCGGCCCCCTTAGAAGTAATGCTACATTTACACTGGTGCGTTTATGTTTTAAAATGAAAACGATCCTCGTCATACTGCGGTTTCCACTGCGTTTCAAGCCGGCTTTCCACCATCTCCAAGCAACAGACTGGTCATTAATTTCCTACGGAGAGTAGCGTGGGAGCTGCATGGAGTTCCAATCATATGCAGATGTAGGTTCATACTACATGATCGAAAGCGCGTGTTATGTGGCCATTCATGCAAACTGTTGCATCATGCTACATGAGACAATAAATAAGATTTATATTCCGCTTTTACTCAAAACTCACTTTAAACCACCATCGAGTGTTTGTAATAACTTCTGATTGCCGTCAAATGTGTGTTTTGGCCATGTAATGTTGCTGAAATGAAATATGTGAGTCAGAGCAGCGATCATGGAAGAGAGAACACAGGCAGACAGCGCTGGAAGCTGCTAATGCTCATCAGTAAATCAGTGGAAAATAAATAGAAATCATGATTCTGTCTGAGCTATGCGTTTCAAAACGAACACTAACTAGTGTAAATGTAGCTAACAGATGTGTAAACTGAAGACTATTTCAGCTTTATTAAAACTATTAGCACTGATTTATTGTGTTGGTTACATTTTGTTCCTTTGTGCAGTGGCTCAGGAGACGAGTCTTTGAGTTTGTATAAACATCAACAAGCTGAAACATAAAACCACAGTTTTTTTTTTAGATAATGTAATCTTGTTAAAATTTATTTCACAAAATTGGTATCGAAAAAAGTATTGTTCAGGAACCGGTATCGATATCAAATTTTTTTTAATGATACCCAGCCCTAGTAGTAACGTTAGTGTCCATGTTGTGTTCACATTCCAACTTAAAAGCACAACTCGGGAAATGATAGCATCCAAGGAGCGCTTGAATGCAACAGTTACACTTGCTCTGAAGACAGTAGGTAGCGTACTGTTAGCTAGCTACATTAAACTACACTACAATACACATGCACATTCATCAGGCTGCTAAGGAGAGGTTTCAGTGTGAGAATGAGCTCACCAAAAAAGTTCCTTATGATAACCAGATTAATATGCAAAGCTAAGTTAATGATAATGTAGCCTATGTTAACTTGATAACTAAAGAGTCACATTAACCCATAAGAACCCGGACTAATTTTTCCTTATAGGAAAATTATTGGGAATATAAAACAGACCAAATGGACCACTTATAACATGTTTCTGCAGTTGTTTTTAAAATACAACCCCTCCTTGAGAAAGATCTGTAATGTGACATACTGTATATGACATTGGGCGTTTATGATACATTTTTAATGTTACATATATGTTACATTGGGCGTTTATTTCGCAGTTAGTTTCGCACTGACAAATACATTTTGTCAGTGTTTTTGCTAAATAATTTTTTTTTCTGTTTATTTGCTTTTCCACAACATATATCAAAATTTTACTTTTCTGGGAAGATAAAACAAAAACCTTTTTCAGAAGTAATACAGTTTTGCATTTTATTTGCATGGTCACAGTTATGTGGTTTTGAAATATGTTGTGGTAATCTTTTCAGAGTTAGTTCTTGTATGCAATGCAGTGCAACAAGCACCTGTCATGTGTTATCTCTTCACTGCACAATGGACTAAGTTACTGCAATGCAATTTACATGTTATGTGTTATCTCTTCAATGGATAACGGATGAGTTAGTTCATTCATCGCATCACCACATCAGTTATGCTTTATCACCTCAATACAAAAGTAATGAAATAGTTCTTGTATACAATGCAAGGAAACATTGCGTAAGAATTCTTGGCAATTTAGGGCAGATGGTAGTTTTTGAAGCAATTTCTGTCTTCAGTGAAGCAAAGACGCACATCACATTTCTAACAGACAGCGGTGGTTGCAGAATTTGCAATGGGAATGCGTGTCACATTTCACAGGCCAGTGTGCAACCTGGTCAGTGCAAACACCATTTGGTACTCCAACATTAACTCTCTTGTGTGGTGGTGAAGACGTGCTGTGAATTGTTGGCTGACCTCTTTGTGATTGCACAAGAATTAGACTAGTGGCAACCTCTGCCTGGAAGCTCCTTTGTTTTAATGGCTTTTGGACACCAAGTAGTTTATAGTCACGGTGATAGATCAACCATGCATTAACAAGGCCCAACATGATGGTTTGCCAGAACAGG